CGCCAGGTAGGTTAAGTTGAAGAGATCAAGAAGATAATTTTTTCCCTTTACCTGTACCTTTGCAAGAAGTTGCATGATGTCATAAGTGATTCTACCTTCCCCAGGTAGATTTAAGTCTTAATGGCTGAAAGGGGTTCTTTCCTTGTAAATGGGGCATCAGCGTCAATTAAGAAATGGCACTGATTGTCAATTTCGTTCTTGTGGCTTAATTCAAGAAAGCACCTGCGTATGGGTAATGGGAGACCATCAAGAGAAGAGTCCTCACACCAATTATTGAGGAGAGATGAGGCTAACCTTTTGGGATGTTCGTGGAGTGTTATGTTGCATGTATTGCCTTTAATGTTGCTTATTTCCTTCCATACATTAAACATGGGTGTCATGGAGTCAGTTGATTCTGCCCAGGCATAAAATCTTTCCTCCCGTTTACGAGTTATCATCTCATTGATTTTTTTACTAAAAAAAGATCTCTAAAGATCTCTAGCTAAGTACGGGTTTTTCCCCAAGTGTCGTAGCTGACTTACTGTAGATCGTATGAGCCTTCTAAGAAGTTTTATCTCAGGATCTTTGTTCAGCTGTGCACGTCTACCACTAGAGGATAAAAATCCGTGCTTGGGAGGTCCTTTAGGTTGTAGTTAAGTAATGATATTGCCAACATGTTGACTGAGATTTTCATTAAAGTGATCCAGGCTGGTAGAAGTAAAGTCTTCACACCAGCAGGCAATTCTCTCAAGGAATTAATTATGATATTTAGTAGTAAGGTGGTACCGAAGGCGTGGCTGGGGTGGGCTTCTTTTGCAAAAAGGAAGGGTTATACTTAATACCCAGTGATCACTAACTAAGAATGGGATGACTTTCGCAGAGAATTCACAAAAGGTAGAATAACTGAGAGAGAAAAAGGGAGAATGTAGAGGGAAGGAGAGAAAGAGAGAGAGAGAGATTACTAAGAAGAGAATTCACAGAAGGGAGAGCATTTAACTCTGACGTAAGCTTTTAAGAACATCATAAAAAAAAACAAAGACCCGGATGAAATAGGAGATGCTGCGACAAAGCTCATCCTTATCTTTTAAGATCTTTTAACAATCTTCTATATCTATACACTTTAGAGGGATGGGCGGTGGTCTTGGGGAGAGAGAAAAAAAAAATACTAATTTGAACGTCTGCGAAAAATCCAGGACAAAATGGAGGACCTTTACCCTGCGTCCGAAGGCTTGACTCGGCTACGCTCTCCACGTGTTTTCGGCGTCGGTTCTTCAGGTTCACGTAACTCCACAGGGATACGAACACCCTGGAGGAGAAGGAGGACGGCGTCAGGTAAAAGAAATGAATAAATAGAAGGTGAGAATAAATAAAAAAGTGTGATTAAATAAATGCACGTGATTCCACAAGGACACGAACAAGGGGAAAGAGGGCGTCGTGAAGTAAATGATGTGAATAAATGGATCGATTAATTTATTATTTATGTTAGGTCTGGTAAATAATTAAAAGGTAGATCGATAAATTAAGGATTTATGTTTGGTCTGGCAAGAAATGAGTCAAATAATCAACGATTTTAAAGATTTATGATGGATTCGGTAAGAAATTAATAGGTAGATCGATGAATTAGAAGTTTATGTTTATGTATATCCTGTAGGAGAAGATTTTTTTTTTCTCTTAGTCAATTTACTACTCATATTTTTAGAAAAAAAAAATCGTTCACCTTAATTCTAATACTAAAAATTAATAACACTAAATGAAATAATAATAATAACAGTAACATCCTCTTTTTATGCTTTAAAACACCTTTTTATATAACTATCTAAATAATTTGTAACATCATTTTCATCCTTAAACACGAACTGTTCTTAGCAAACACTATACCTGGCGGGATTTCGAATAATAGTAACGGTGGGTATGTTCTTGTACTTTTGTAAGTGTTTGATAAAGTGGGATTTTGTGGCCAGCGTTGTCCGCCAGCCCAGCTTATGTCGCTCGCCCAAGTATCCTGGAGAGAAGTGGGAAGGGGGGAGGTAAAAAAAAAGTGTTTTAAGGTTGTTGGGTTTTTAATCTGTCTTTCTCTCTCTCTCTCTCTCTCTATCTATCTATCTATCTATCTATCTATCTCTCTTTCTCTCTCTCTCTTTCTTTCTCTCTCTCTCTCTCTCTCTCTCTCTCTCTCTCTCTCTCTCTCTCTCTCTCTCTCTCTCTCTCTCTCTCTCTCTCTCTTTCTTTCTCTCTCTCTCTTTCTCTCTCTCTCTCTCTCTCTCTCTCTCTCTCTCTCTCTCTCTCTCTCTCTCTCTCTCTCTCTCTCTCTCTCTCTCTCTCTCTCTCTCTCTCTCTCCTCTCTCTCTCTCTCTTCTCTCTCTCTCTCTCTCTCTCTCTCTTCTCTCTCTTCCCATCGTGCCTCCCCCCCCCCCACACACACAAACCACCCCCATCCCACCCCCACCCCTTACTCTCCCCTTCCCTCCCCTCCCCCCCCTCTTTCTCCCCCCCCCCCCTCCACACACACACACACCACACCTGCTGCAACAAGAGTCCTATCGGTGTAGACGGAGCTGGTGAAGACTCCCGACGCGGCTTCCAGGAGATATCGGACCCACGTGTTGCCGGACCGAGGGAAGGAGTGGAGGATGCTGCCCCTCATCCCGACGGCGAATCTCACGTCCATCCTGGGGGGAGGAAGGAGAAAGGAAGAGGAAGAGGAGGGGAGGAGGTTGGGGAGGAAGAGGAGGGAGAGGAGGAGGTGGGTTGGGGAGAGGATGAGGAGGAAGGGGGGGAGGATGAGGAAGGAGGTGGAGGGAGAGGAGGAGAAGGTGGTAGTGGGTGGGGAGGTGGATTAGCAGGAGGAGGAGGGAAGAAGAAGAGGAGGAGGAGGAGGTGGGGGGGAGGTGGAGGTGAGTTGGGGAGAGGAGGAGGGAGAACAGGAGGAGTAAAAGAAAGATAAATAGGAGGAGGAGAAGGAAGAAGAGGAGGAGAAAGAGAGGGAGGGGGAGGACAAAGAGGAAGAGGAGGAGCAGGAGGAGGAAGATGCACTTAGAAGAATAAGTCTACTGCTGATAAATAAATTAATATATCGATAGCTAGATAATATATAAATAGATAGACAGGTATTGATGCACACACTCCAACATTCACACACAAACAAACAGAAACAAACAAACACATTCACCCACTCTTCATTACCAACAACACCTCTCCTAAGCTTAATTTTGACACTATTTCTTCCTTTCCAAACTACCTCGAGCAGATCTCCACTTCGTCGTCTGGCCAAAGAGCTCGCGTTGTCCCATTCTCGTTTAGTTTTACGTCTCTGTATGAAGGTTCAGGCGATCGATCTGGTGGAGGGAGGGAGGGAGGGAGGGAGAGGGAAGGAGGAAAGGAGGGAGAGGGAGGATGGGATGGGAAAGAGGGAGGGATGGGGGGAGGAGTAAGTGTAGGGAGAGGAGGGAAGAGAGAGGGAATGAGGGAGGGATGGGGGGAGGAGGAGGAAGGAGGGGAGGGAAAGAGGGAGGGGAGGGAAGGAGGGAGAGGAGGGGGGAATGGGAGGGAGGGGGGATGGGGGGAGGAGGAGGATGGGGTGGGAGAATGGGATGGGGGAATGGGAGGGAGGAAGGGAGGGGTGGAGGAGGAGGGAGAAAGAGGGGAGGGAGGGGGAAGGGGAAGGAGGGAAAGAGGGATGGGGGAAGGAGGAAGGAGGGAGGGAGGGGGAGAGGGTACGGAGGGATGGAGGAAGGAGGAAGGAGGAAGGAGGGAAGGAAAGAAAGGAGGGAGGGATGGGGGAATGGAGAGAGAGAGAGGGGAAGGGAAGGAGAGAGAGAAAAAAAAATAGAAAGAAAAACAGAAACAGAGATTAAAAAATAAATACCACCATAAGCAACAGCCATTGTCCTTAATCACGATAGCCACAACACTAACAACCCAAAAAGAGAAAGGTATAATCATCCCCTTCACTATAATCACCATTAAACCCAAAAACTCTCAAATAAACCTCAAAATCCCTCACTTTCGCCTCGACCTCCTTCATAATCCTTCGCCTCCTCCTCATAATTCTTCGCCTCCTCCTCGTCCTCCTCACCCAAGTAATCCTCGAATTCCCACGCTCTCTTGCCCTCGAGGACGACCTCCTGCAGGCGTCGGTTCAGGGGCGAGAGCTTTTCCTTCTTGGAGTGGAGGATTTTGACGGTCCAGAGAAATAGGGCGAAGAGGACGAAGAATTTTGGGAAACGTCGACGCATCATTTTGCTGTGGGAGGGAAGGAGGATTTATTTATTTATCTATTTATTTATTTGTTTGTTTGTTTGTTGTTTATTTATTTTGCGGTGGGAGGGAGGGAAAATTTATTTATCTATTTGTTTGTTTGTTTGTTTGTTTATTCTTTTGTCTGTGGGAGGGAAGATGGAGAATTAATTTAGCTTTTTTTTTTTTTTTTGCTTTTTGCTTTTTCTGTAGGAGGGAAGGAAGAAATGTGGTTTAGTTTTTCTCTCTTTCTTTTTATTTATTTCTTTTGTGTGTGTGTGTGTTTGTCTATTTGTTTCTTTTCCCCTCTTTTATTTATTTTTCTTCTTCCGTGGAAGCGAAGGTGGCAAATTAATCTAGTTTCTTTAATTTTTTTTTTTTTTGTTGTTGTTGTTCCTCTCCTCTTTCTTCCTTTCCTTTTATTTTCATTAATTTATCTCTCTCTCTTTTCTTTTATTTGTTCACCTTCTCCACACACATCTCTCTATCTATTCATCTATCCATTTCTCTATGTCTTTCTCTACTTATTTATAACCATCTACATATCTGTCTTTCAATTTACGTACACACACACACACACACACACACACACACACACACACACACACACATATGTCTGTGTGTGTGTGTGTGTGTGTGTGTATGTGTGTGAGTGTGTGTGTGTGTGTGTGTGTGTGTGTGTGTGTGTGTGTGTGTGTGTGTGTGTGTGTGTGTGTGTGTGTGTGTGTGTGTGTGCATGTATATATCTGTGTGTCAATATACCACCTGTTCACCATGTAATTGCT